TGATTTTTTGTAAATAAATTACAAGCTCATTAATCGCAGTTAAAAATAATTATGACAAACACACAATTGTCGTATTAATGTGTTACAATATTGAATATTAGTTACATGACCATGCGGTTACTTACGACAAAAGTGATCTTGGCTGCATGTTAATCGTAGAGACAGTTTCGATATTGTGTAGATTAGAAGTATACTACAAATTGTAACAGGTAACGTAAATCATAATTATTTAGACTGCTAAGAAGCCTCGAAAGAGTGGGACCGGGATATGGAGGGTATAWTGATATACGAACTATGATGGACCGGTTGAACGTTAAGATGTGATGTGATAGATAAGACAATCGGAAACGAACATTTCCGACAAAAACAATACGAATCATTTAATCGGAATCAAAATCGTCGATGTAGAAACCAATTATGATCTTGRTTCTGATGATAATGATAATATTATTAAAAATATTAATAAATAATAACAATCGTGTAACTGGATGTTCGCGTGACAAGGATAGTTTTGTAATAGCAGATCAGTAGCAATAACGACGGATGAAACCGATAAGCGAGAATAATAACATCAGAATATCAAGTTAGTCGCGTACTGTAGCGCTCTCTAAGAGCGTGCGTGCGCCGACGTGTGTACATGCGTGAGGGTGCGTGCGCCTTGTTTCCATGGTTAGGGGGTGGACGAAGAACTTTTGATGTGGGGGTAAAACGAGACGGTGGACGCTAACAACGTTAAAKTTGTTGTCGCCGTTATTGCTTATAGCCCAAATTAAAGGGAAGGGATACATAACTGGAGRGTCTGAGGAATATGATATAGTCAACCAAAAATATCACATCGAGTTTTATTTTTATTTTATTACAATTTTATGAAYTTATTAGCATTAAAATGATTATTTTAAATGCGTACGGAGACGTAAAATAATATAATCAATTGAAAGATTTTTATTTTTAGCAAATTTTAAACTTGAGTCTTTTTTAAGTACAATGACAGACGACAGTAACATTTCATACGCTTGCCTTGTGTTTCTTTTACAAAATTTAGTGTTATCATAATTATATTCGATGGGTGGATTTAGAATTATTTTATTAGCGATCCTTTAATATTTTATTTTATAATTATTAGTATTTGACACATTTATTATCCATTAATTATAAATAATATAATTTTTTACTAAACAAAAATAAAATCAACACGGCCAATTCGGTGCTAAAGCATATCTCACARGTGTCTTTCGCACCTGCTGAAAATTTCATTAAGTTGTTACAGTTACAAAGTTTCCGTGTTACTTTTTTTARGCCAATATCTTCGAAGTCGACACATTATTGAGACAAACATTGAAAATATTAGTTGTTTTAATTTGTAACATCACACAAAAGTTAATATATACATTTTTTATCCCAGGTCAACTGTAAATAAGAAAATATGTTATGTTTTGACATTTGTTTACTGAGAATATGAAAAAGRGAGTGTGATCTAATTGAGCAGGAATAGTAGGTACTACGCACCCATGTATTGTCTCTGTCTTACATATGTATGAAAAAGTAAAAACTATTTTGCATGGAATAGGACCCCTCAGGGAGTAGTTTATCCTAAACAACCAATA